AACCCGGGTACAAGCTGCTGAAATGGGCTTTCTTAGACGAGTCGCTGGCCTTACGCGTCTGGACATGGTCGGGAATAGTGACATCCGGAAGAGCCCCTGGAATACAGCCTTTGCTTCTCGAGATTGAAGAATTATTGCTGCAATGGTTTGGGCTCGAGTTGCGAATGCAGCAAGAGAGGAAATAGGTTCTAATAATCAACAACGGAAAAACGGTCATTTCGAAGCAGTCTGACATATACATATACAATTCATTCACAGTTTTACTACTAAAATAAACGGAGAACAAATAAATTAGAACAATAATTTCAAGCACGATCATGAAATTTCCATATCAAGTAGCATCACTCAATAATTCTTTCACTTTTAAACTATCCAGGTTGCACTGCATGGTGAGAAACTGATGTGATTCAATGCAACAGAGATTTGCAAACAAATAACCGTGAGATCATGATGTTGGGAGACGAAGGGGAACGCATCAGGCAGTCTGACTGCTTATTCTTCAGTTTCATGTTCAGGCATAATTTCTGGTTTCACTACCGAACCTTCTTCGCAGCAAAGATATGTAACGCAGTGAGACAGCTTGTCTAGGTAGGTTATTTGTCCCTGACGAGTGGTAGTGGTTGAAGAGCGCTCATGTGAGATCGGCAAAAACAGACAGTGGCAGTCTAGATGTGGCTTGGATGTGGCATGAAGACTAAAATTATTAGACATTACAGTGGAATTCTCGTTTTTGTGCATCTTTCGATTAGAATTTCGGAATACAATAACAGAAATTAGAACTGCTGTTGTTCGTAATTGAATCAGTCATAGTTATAAAGAAAAAGAAACCAGCGAATTTAATATCTGAGCAATGAGATAAAATCTTTTCAATAACTGCATATAAGCTTAGTTTGATAACTTGGTGTCTCTACCGACGCTGAGACAAAATTATAGCATTTTGCTGTGGTCGAGACTTCGCACAAGATGGAAGCTAAAGAATGTATTGCACATTCATTTCAACGTCTATCAAGTGAATCGACCAAGAAGACAAAAAGCTTGTTGAACCGAGGGAAACGTAGGCAGGATCAGAACGCAAAATATCTGCCCCTGCACTGATGAGGTAATCCTGAAGGAAATCTGAAAGAGATGAAAGAATCCACTGGACTATAGTCAAGCGTCTGGCTGCACAGGTGGTAGCGATAATTGATGAATTACTAAGATTGGGTTTAAATCAAGAAATTACCTGAACATCTGGCAATCCATCCAGACCGATGCCGATGCTTCATCTGGCTTGTCAGCCGTTGCACGTCTGTCGCTACCACTCCGCTCTGCTTAACATAATCTTGAACCAAAGTCTGCCAAATATTTCTGCGATACTGAGCGGAGGAGTTTTGGGCGGTACAATGCTTTATGTAATGACACCAGTATTGGATCAGCTCCTTGCAAGCAGGACAACTGGTTGTCCTAGCTGCTTTGCATGAAATCTTGTCTTGCAAACAGCGTTTCGTGCGGTGGCGGCTTAACTGACCGTGGTTGGCGTTGGGAAATTTGTGAAGAGGACCACAGTTCGCTTTTGGCCATTGGATTTGGCCTTTGGGCGTTTGGGCCCCCGATCGGTTCGTCGTATTTTCTGTCGGAACGCTGTTTTGATCGGAAGTGGCTTCGTTGCTAATGCTACCCCTGATCGCTTCCATTAGGTGTCCGTGATTCGCGTTGACGAAACAAGTCTGGCAGAGGTCAAAATCCTGCAATGGCAAAAGTATCCAAAAATATCCCATGCCACCAACAACGCGCTTACATCACACGTAGGGCAGTGCCACAAGGCATTCGTATTACTGCAGTTATTACAGATGTACAGAAATCGGTCTCGCCCTTGGTTATGCAATTCATAGCAGAGAGCCAATGTGGAAAACTTTGCGCGTCTCAGATTGCTGAATTCCCAATGTCTGTCATAAGCCGTCAGCAAAAAATTCTCTTTGTCATCCATCAGATCTCGATGAACTATCGGATCCGGGTCGTTTACGGGAGGAAGCGCCACCGTCACGTGCCTTGAGTTTAACGTCACAACAAAAAAAGCCTAAATGTCAGATAAACAGTTTAAATCTCGATCGATCGCTTGTGTGAAGTCATGGGCATATCGTCACAGAGTTACAATGATGCACTGAGGAAGTAGATTATATTAGCAAGCCGTGAAATCAAAAGAAAACGAGCTTATTAGATTCATCATTCAACCGAGAAGAGGGATAAAATTTTACAGAACACATTTTAAATTATTCTGTGCCTTTTAATGAGCTATGTTTGAAAATGCAAGAATTATTTTAAGCAGAACTGCCGACAATATTGGTTTGATTCCTCAACGAAATATCACATACGTTTTCTTAAAAATTGGAGTCATATTGCCAGTGCTTAAGGCAAAAGTATTACATAGAAGGTACAAATCGAGTAAATTCATAGTTGTAATATGGGTAGCCAGATAGTGGCATCTGACATGCATTAACGGACGTCTATGCGTCAGTCAACCAATAGCCTTGTCGCAGTTCAGGGAACCTGGTTCTGAATAACCGTCGCTACTCGTATCGGCTTGTGGTAGAAGCCGTTTCTCTTTAAACACCAATGTCATGAAGAAACAGAAAAGTCAGTGATTGTGATATTGATATCATGTCCTCGATCCAAAGTCAAGAATGATGAAGAGACGAACAATCTCAGAGCAGCGTGACTCCATTGACGTAAAATCTGAAGTCAGCCGGTGAGGTCCGGTTCAAAAACTGAACCGTAACTTCATCTTCATTTTGTATAAGAAACAAGAACCAGCCAGCAAAACATAACGAGTAAAAAGTTTTCGTGAATTTCTTATCAGTGAAGCCAGGCAAATCACCGAGCTAAGGAAAAGCGAAAAGAGAATAAACCTCGACTTTACAGACTCAGAGAAACGATCCCAAGGCCCCAGTGCTGCAACCGATGATTCGTAGAAAACCCTAGTGAACAAGAACCACTGCTGAAAACTGAGAATTTGAACCTAGCAGAGGTAAATGACGCCCTGTTTACCGTACGGTCAGGGATTATCTGAACGGACACGTCTAACTTTGGTCTCGCCATTGACTTGCAAGGAAATCCGCTGCCACACCAGATTAATCACTGGAAACGAGAGGCCAAATATTTCGCATGACTGCAAACTTCAATGCCCACTGAAGAGCTGCTGAACGCCCGAAGTGTCAAAAGGTCAGTGGAGATCTCCGAGCTTTTGAGGCTGACTACACCAGTGGGGCTTCAGCAGCCTGAGGCGAAACAATCCTGCGGGGTGAATGGTAAAAAAACGAAATGTTTTCGATTTACTAGTGAAGGCATGTTGCTCAGGCTACAGAGACTCTTCCAGCACATGTGAATGGGGAAGAAAATCCCCAACGACTGGAAGAACGGAATTATGATCGCGATCCACAAAAATGTAGACACCTGCTCAAACTTTTATATATGTTTCGATGCCAGGTCCTAGTTTTGGTGGTCAACCCGATACGGCTATGGTAAAAGATTCAAAGGAATCTCGAACCGAGTAAACTAGACAGGGTTTCAAACAAGGCGTTCGTACACCGACCACATATTTAGTCTACGCCGATTATCGAACAATTCCGCCGATTGCAGCATCCCTGATTCGCCACGTCATCAGTTATTGCGCTACGTGTGATTGTACGCATTCACCGCATTACAGTGCCGAAGATCATACGCATTTTCGGCAATTAAGAGCAGATGGCTACCATTATTATGACAATGTAGAATAGGACGATCAGCGATGTGAAACCTGAAGGATTTAGGATGGGTTCATTTAGGAATCTGTCAGGGTGAATTTCTTTCCCTTTTTCTTTTCAGTGTGTAACAGATCTCATTCTATGAAACACCGCTGAATGGCAATGCATGGACGGCTCTTGGAAAGGAGACGAAGCTCCAGGTCACCGGCGAAGTATTTGATTCACTTGAACTATGCCGATGACATCGAACGAGGAGAGAGCGATCACGGCATCCTTCCGCTCTGTGAGGTAGTGTGCAAAACTGTGGTAGTCATCCAGCTGAACCCCGCAACGACGAAGTCATGAGGAACCAAGAAGAAATCGTAGAACCGTCGATGCCCCACGCAAGCAGTACCATCGAAGAAATCTCACCGTTCAAATACCTGGGTGCGATGATATCGAGAGATGTTAACTGTGAACAGAAGGATTACGTTGGCGTCGCTCACCATCAAGAGCCTAATGAACGTTTGTACTCAAAGGGGAATAACAGTCACCATCAAGATCCACTTTTACTGCGCTATTGCGATACCGGTTTTGTTCAAGTGTCAGGAAACGGTTGCACTCACAAGATCACAGGAATATCGATTGGACAGCATGTAGTAGCGCTGGTTGTGCCGGCTGAAGAAGACCGAGTGGCTCGACCGCATAAAAAACGATTGAGTCTTGGCACCATTTGACTTCACCGAAGTATCAGAGGTGCCGAGAGACAGACAACTGGCGAGTTTCTATCATTTGCTTCAAAACGATGAAGTGCCCTGGCTCGTCGCCTGCTGAAGTAGGAATCTGACTTGGACTGCGAGAGATCCGTGGTCAAATAGTCTCATGGTAGAGGAAATTAAACGGAGATCTGTTCTCGATAAGCATGTTTATTTTGCAGTCGCAATTGAAAGATACTCTCATCAAAATGCTATAAGTGCAGATGCGCGGATGTCACAAGTCTTAAGTAGGCTGCAGATTTATAACGATGTCAAAAATGATGATGATGACGAACAACAACAGGGACTAAACCGTCTGCAAAGTAGGGTAACAACAAGGTAATGATGGGTTGACAATTCTGCATCTCCCTTAACGCGAACATCCATCACAGAGCGTCTTAGAAGAGACAGACCATACGAGTATTAAACCGATCATCGATTTCTGTGCACAAGCTTCCCGGTACCAGGTGCACTGATGCACTCTTCGATGCTCGAAGAAGGTATTCATAATGCGTTATTTGCACAAAACCGGAATAAAGTCATGACGTTATGTTTTGAGGTTACTACGGACGTTCCTTCCTCTTTTCTGTGTGTTCTCTGACAAGGCGCATTGAAACCATTCATGAAAATGATGAATTTCGTAGTTGGAACTTTGTACAGAGAGTCTTTTGCGTAATCCTGGAAGGACTCGGTATTGTCCATCCTAATTGGGTGCATAAATCTGTAACAAGATCGAAACCTTCGTCAGCTGCAACCAAAATTAGAGTTGCCTCACTTCCGCCGGCAGGCTTCCAATCAGTGGTTCTGCCAGATAAATAGGATTCTACCAGAATACCAACACTGGTCTGAACGTGCGTCATGATATCGACAGCTAATTGAATTACATTCCACTCTCAAAGATTCGGAATTCCAAAGGCCTGGCACTTCGTGAACGAATGTCAAACAGTGTTCTGTTTGACCCTTGCGACCTCATCAACTAACTCTTGCTCCTTCCCCCTGCGTGACAATATATTCCAATTTCTGACTGTAAACTGCCACTGGCGGTATCGTTTTCGTGAATCCTTTCTTGGCGTGCTGTAACGGCTTCGCGGTGTCTGTCTCATCTGTTCAGAACGGGTAGCGACTCTGCTTCTGACTTGTATCTTCATCATCTTCCTCTACATCTTTGGCAGCAGTCTGCGCGCGAAGGAGATTCTAAATCGCTGGCTTGTGACAGTCTGCCTCAGTTCTTCAACAGCCTGCACGGCCCTTGATAATCCGGATGATTACCGAGCTGGTACATAGTTCGAAAGCGGCAATACCATGAGGGAAAGGTGACTAAGTTTTATGAGAGACTTTCCCGCAATCCCCAAACCTTCTCCATTCTCATCCGGGTTGGGATGGGCAACGGCGGAATTGTTTATCAAGCCAAATAAAATACATTTATTTCCAAAAATCCAGTCTAAGCTTTCTCGTCAGGGTAGGAAGGCATGAACATGTAGACGGTACAAATGAGGTAATGGAAACCAGATTCAACTGTAATCCTTGTGGTGTTTCAAGTAATTT